TTAGAACGTTTGGGAAGGGATCTTTATCTGAATTTTTGTATTTTTGAGGCTTCATATGCTTTTCAGTGATAGTTAATTTATTATGATAAATTTTTGGATAAGTTAGTAGATGTTGAATTTTGCTCTCGATAAAAATTTGTTTAATTTTTTTTTATTTTGTTGTTTACGTGTCAATTCGGTTATATATGTATATCAAATATTAATCATATTTTCATTTAAAAAAAAAAAATTTTATAGTAAAATTTAGTATCGAAAAAATCTTGACCTAAATTTGTGCCTTTTCATGATTTTATATATTTTTTTGGTAATATTTTAGTGAAGTTAATTTTTTATGTAGTTTTTAATGAAATTTTCAATAGATTATTTATTCGGTAAGTTTGTTCTGTCACATTTTCAATTTAATTATAATAATTGATCCTTTTATAGCAACATTATTTTTCAAATTTATTTCAAAAGTACCCAAACTAGTTTAAAAATACCAAAAACTCATTAAAAAAAAATTTTTTTTCATTCGTAATTCACATTCTCAGCAGTCATACAGTGCCTAGAGCTTGCTATTACGCATTAAAATCAATAAAAATTCGTATGGAACATTCAAATATTTTATACATCTGTATAAAATAAAGTTTATTAATAATGATTTTAATACATATATCTAATCGTTTCATATACTATCCAGTACAACTCTTCCGTAATATTTCCCGCCCCTTAATCTAATCCGAGGATAATCTAAAATTCATGACACACATAAATGCCAAGCGATGATATATCTGGCGGGGAAAGTGAAGGCCCGGGTTGGCCTCGGCCACCTACCCATCCCTATTTCTGTTCTATCTGACTTGACTTCCACCAACTTACCACCACGGGCTCGGTGTGTACTTCGCGCCATGTCCCGGCGAATCTTTCCATATATACATACGTATAAATACAGATATATAGATAATATACGTACTCACGATTGCAAAGATAAAATTTAAGTTAAACTGAGATCGAGCAAGCGCAGTTTACTATTATTATTTAATAGAACGCGAGTTACTCTAAATCACAACATATTTCTCAAACTGGTGTAATACTATTTACCGGTATGAACATGAGGATCGAATTTATTTAGACCGTCTATTTTATTTAATCGCTTTTCATATATAACTATACCATATGAACACACATTACATGTCAGTAAACTTTAAGTACATATAACTAAATAATAACTACATAAAAGTACGAAGGCTTTTTGCTCATTTTAATTCAATTTTTTGTGTTTATGACTAACGCATTAATATTTAATAATATGTATGTATAATATATTAGGGTGGGTCAAAAAAATCGATTATTTTTTTTTTAACTTCTAATATTGAAAAGTTGGTTCTCAGGCACCTCTAGAAAATGCTCACCAAATTTGAGCTCTTAATATTGATAGGAAGCTTATCCGCATCACAGTTTTATATTTTTTGTTAGTCTCTTATAAAAAAGATCATATATCTCACTATTGATCAATTTTTTAATCAAATCTTTATACATGTTTATGTGGAAAATTGAATGATCTACAAAAAAGATTTGATATATGTAAGCGATTACATTAACCATTTCAAAGATATCCGAGGTCAAAGTTCAAAAAATTTATCAAAAAAAAATTTTTTTTTTTAATTTCCTACCACATTAAATTTTTTAAACT